TGGAATAAAATAGAGGACCCAGATATGAGCCCACATAAAGACAGCCACCTGATTTCCAACAAAGATTCCAAAAATACACATTGGAGGAAAGACAGTATCTTCAAAAAATGCTCCTGGGAAAACTGAATGTCCACACAAAGAAGGATAAAATTAGACTCTTGTCTCTCATCATGCAAAAATAAATCAACTACAAATGGGCCCAAACCCTCAAAGTAAAACCTGAAATTCTGAAACTTCTAGAAGAAAAGGTAGAGAGCATGTTGCAAGGTATAGGCACAGGTTAAAAACTTGATGAATAGGATGCAGGAATTAATGCCAACAGGTGAAGGATGCATCTTATAAAATTAAAGGTGCCTGGATAGCCAAGAAAAAAGGCAGTTTGGTGAAGAGGAAGCCTAGAGAGTGAGATAAAATCCTCATCAGCTACACATCTGATAAAAGATCAATATCTAGACTACATGAACACAAACAAAGCATAAAGCAAACAAATAGCCCAATAAAAAGGGGAGCTTTAGGTCTGGACAGAGTTCTGAAAAGAAGAAATATAGCAAGTTAGGAAATATTTTTAAAAGTGTTAACACTCGGCAATCAGAGAAATGCAGATTAAAACTACTTTGAGATTTCATCTTACCCTAATCAGACTGGTTAAGACCCCAAATCAAATGATGCTCGATGCTGATGAGGATATGAGGAAAAGGGAACTCTTATTTACGGTTGGTAGGAATCCAAACTGGTGGAAATCAGTGTGGAGGTTCCTCAAAAAACTAGAAGTGGATTTATCATATGATTCAACTATACCACTCCTGGGCATACACCCAAAAGACTCCATATCCTACTGCAGAGATATTTACTCATCCGTGTTCGGTGTTGCTCTGTTTATAATAATGAGGAAACGGAATCATTCTAAATATCTATTAAATTATTAATAGAGAATGAAAATGTGGTGCATGTGCACAATGAAATTTATTCAGTTGTAAAAATTAATTTGCAGGTAAGTGAATGGAACTGGAAAAAATTATACTGAGTGTGGTAACCCATACCCAGAAATAAAAGTGCCACATGTTCTCTCTCGTATGTGAGTGCTAACATCACATTTTTAGAACGGTATTTTTAACTTGGAGTACCTGTAGAAGCCAGGGAACTAGAATGGAGCCTTGGGTAAGGCTGGGGAGAAAAAGCTTAACAGGATAAGGGATTAGGATAGTAAGACTTAGGTAATGTGATGGAGGTAAAGGAAATGCATAATTGTAAACTCTACAAGATACAGTAACAATGAGCTTGGCAAGACAGGCTCATTTGTACAATAATGGCAGACCATTAACCTATTTAAAAAATATATGAAATCCCATCATTTTCAAGAAAATACACAGAATTGGAAGACATCACAAAGAGCAAGATAAGCCAGACATGGAAAGTCAAACTGCCTTTTTTATGTCATAAGTTGCATGAGTGCTATGAGGGTAACCAACAGTTTTCTAGTTGGACTTAAGACCTGCTCCACAGGAAGGCATTCATGCCTAGGACTATAAACCTGGCCAAGGACCAGGATGTCATAGTTCTATTACTATTATTTTGCTAAAGGGACATAGCTTCAAATTGCCTTCTAAATATTTACCCTTGAACCCACACACTAGTGCTACTCTTATCCCTCATCAGTAAACTTTTTGTCATAGGTAGCTATTAATACAGAGACTCACAACTGGTCAAAGTGTTGAGAATAAATGACTGTGGAGTGCTCAACTTTAAATGGGACATCTATGTCATTGTCACACCATCTTCTGTCCCGCAGGCTTAAGAAACACCAAGGAAGATGGGGTAGAAAGATTAAGAGCCAGGAGTTGGGGAAGATTGTCATGAAGTAACATCTTCTGGGCATGTCAGGGCCACTGCACTCATGAACTCACAGCAGCTGTGGTTGCCAGCACAGGATAAACCAACACTCCAGAATGGAGAGGGAAGGGGCTCAAAGGTCTCCACCTCTAGCTGAGGAGCCATAGGCAGTTGATGACTCCTAAGGGAGGCAGAATCCGTTTTCTTCACTGATGTGCTTCAGGGTAAGTTGTCCATGCTCCAGTGGATGGAATCCTATGCTCATGTGAATATAGACAACATTAATTGGAGTCAGTGTGTTAAAAAGAAAATAAAAAAAGCCGGGTGTGGTGGCACACGCCTTTGATCCCAGCACTCGGGAGGCAGAGGCAGGTGGATCTTTGTGAGTTCAAGGCTAGCCTGGTCTACACAGTGAGTTCCAGTGAGTTCCAGGACAGCTGGGGCTGTAGAGAGACCCTGTCTCAAAAAGACCACAAAAAAAAGAAAATAAAAGAAAGGTAAAACAAAAGAAAAGATGGGTGTTGTGGCCTGCGCCTTTAATCCTAGCACTCAGGACTTAGAGGTAGGCAGATCTCTGTGTATTCCAGGCCATCCCTGTCTATATAGAGAGCTCTAGCTAGCCAGAGCTACATAGTTAGAACCTGTCACAAAAAACAAAAGAAAGAAAGAAAGAAAGAAAGAAAGGAAGGAAGGAAGGAAGAAAGGAAACAAGGGGCTAGAAGAATGGTTCTTCAGTTGTGAGCACTATCTGCTCTTCCAGAAGACCCAGATTTGAATCCCAGCACACACACAGCAGCTAACAAGCATCTGTAACTGCAGCTCTAGGGGATCCGACATCCTCTTCTGACCTCCACGGGCATTGCACAACATGGGTGCACTTATAGGCATAACACTCATACACATAAAATAAAAATACTTAGATCAAAAAAGAAAGACAAAGACAAAGAAGATATGGGACAGGAGATTAGGAGATCAGAATTTCTCCCTTAGTAGGGCAGGTGACAGGCAAATGATGTCACTGAGCAGCAAAAACAGATACAATAGGGAACAAGTTTCAACTAGCAGGATCATGGGAGATAATCCCCATGAAGAAAAAGAAAAAAAGAGGGACCACACGAAGCTCTACTTAGAGGATTGAAGCCCACCAACGGGTGCTGAATTATCTGTGATTATATATGAAGTTTATTTCTTATTCTGTACGATGCAATAAAATAATCTGTACCTTTAAAATATATACTTTTAATATGAGTCTAAGGTAAGATAAATGTTAGATCTATGATCTATAATAGTATAACCTTCAAAGTATAGTGAATTTTGTCTTGGTTTTTACTCTTCTGTGTACAAAGCAAAAATACTAAGCAAAAGTGAAAACAGCTCTTGCCATGCAACAACCAAACGGAACCAACTTACCCTCTTGGCTTTTTGCTTCTAGAACTGAAACTGAACTTTGAACATTCACACTTAGCACACGCTCTGGTTCAATTTGCCATCACTATGGCCACTAAATAAATTAGGCTGATTGAGTCTCACCTATGGAACAGCCAGATGCACCAGTGGCCATCCACATGCCTGGAAACTCCTTCCCACTGTAGGAAATACCCCGTTACTGTTATGGCATCCTCCATATTTCTCTTCATAAATAAGAGAGTTTGGCATAGTTGAAATTCTTATAGTGAGCCCATTAAAGAAAGCTGATGGAGAAGAGGAAGGGAAGGAGACGGGGGTGTGGTGGGTGGGAGACTCAGTTTAGTGTCTCAGGCTCCTCTGAAGGAAATGTATGGGTCAGTCTAAGGAACATTTTGAGACTCACTCCTAACCAGGAGCTCAGGTTCCTTGTGCCATCTGAGAGCTTCCCAGAATTTCCCAATTCCTAGTAGGAACCTAGGCCCATTCCAGGCAGAGCCCACTTTCCTTCACCTTTTCCCCAGACTTGTCGTACTACTTTCCTCATTCAAAAGGATTTCTGGAAGTGAAATGAATATCTTCAGGAAATTGGCACCAAATTTTCTTGAGGAGGGCTCAGTGTTCATCAGTTGCTATT